GTAGTATCTATCTTAACCTCCTTTTGTTTTTGCATGATACCTTACTACGCTCAGGGGCTCCTTTTGCCGCTGCCCACAAGTGACCCCTGGCAGTTAGCCTGTGATTCAACCTGGGGTTGTCCATTTGCAAGGCAATTGCCTTGCCCCACTGTACTATCTCTCTGGCTCCTGAAAAGTTTGGAAGGGGGTGCCAGTATTTTTAAATTTTTTTTTTATTTTATAAAGTAGTTCACAATACTTGATTGCACTTAATATTCAACACCAATCCCACCACCATTACACCTTCCCACCACCATATTTAGGGTGTTTCCATCCCGAACCCCAGTCCCTGCCCCAGCACAGAACCAAAATAATATATTTCCCTCGAAGGTTCGTTGCCTCTTACTTTGAACCCCATCAAATGTGGTTCGGTGCTTTTGGAGTATGGGGAGGGTGTGTCCTATCAAGTGTCCACTGGGTCCGGGGTAAAAGTTCACTTGTGGGTGAGGCTTGGCTTGAGCATTTGGAGGGCTGCTGTGAGCAAGGCAGCAGTTTAGTTTTGGAGGTTTTGAGCTGCCCAGGCTGGGTCCCTTGGGGCGGGGAGGGGTCTCACCCGCCTCCTTCTGGGGTGCCCCAAGTAAAACAACCTGGCATGGGTCTGGCAGCATGATTATGGAGAGTGTTATGTGGCTCCCTTCCAGGAGAGAAGGATGTGTGGATGATGAGATTATCTGGTGCCAACCAGGGGTAGTTTATGGGTGTGACTACTGAGTTGCCTGGGGCGGGGGAGGCGGGGAGGAATACAGGCAGAGGATCTCTGTTCCCGGTTGTGTTGAACCCAGATTGTCCTGTTGAACCCAGATTTAGCTGTCTCTCCATAAAGGCATTGTGTAACTGTTTGATTCAGCTGATGTTTGTCTCTGCATGCTATATCAAAACTAGATTAGTGTAAGAAGTTTCACTTTTGTATTCATCTTCTGTCTCTGCAGTTCTTTTCTTTGACTTCTATGCACATCAGGAATGTCCTTAAGATTAATTTCTGTGAGAAAATATTCTACTGGTGAGGGGGGAGTATTTCTTGTGTTCTAGCATTTCATTCCTTTTGTCCCTACGTACAATCTTGATGAAGAAAAAATGCAGGAATAGACAGTCAAGTCAGTTCTTATCCCCTCCTTAAAACATTCTTGTAGTACATGTAGTGTACTTATCACCCATTAAGATCTCAGAAATCAAATTCAAGACTTTTAGATAGTAAATTTATTGCATTTATTTTTACTCTGATTGTGACCAGTTTAAAAAAAATCCAGATTCACTGTATCACTGTATCACTGTTATCCCATTGTTTATTGATTTACTTGAGTGGGCGCCAGTATTGTCTCCATTTGTCCCAGTCCTGAGATTTTAGTAGCCTCTCCTTACTCATCTTTCCCAATGCTGCCATATTGGAGGCTTTTTCATGTTCAGGGGAATGAGACCTGTTATTGTTACTGTTTTTGGCATATGGAATATGCCATGGGGAGCTTGCCAGGCCAGAGTGGAATACTGTGCGGGTGGAATACTCTCAGTAGCTTCTTAAGATCATAGATAGAATTAACAGGGGAAATATGACAAATTGTATCACACTAACATATCAAGAATATCTTCTTCCAAATATTCCACCACAAAATAGAAGACAAGGGCCATAATAGATGAATATATCTGTGATACATATATGTGTATTCTAAAAATAGAATACGAAAGGGCCTCTTGCGGCTCTCTCTCCCCCTCTCTCTCCCTCCCTTTTTTCTTCCCTCTCTCCCTCTCCCCCTCCCTTTCTGCCTACCTGCTTAGGTGGCCTTGGAAGGGAGGTCCATGGTGAAGGGAGAAGGAAGGAGGGCCAGGCTGGTTGGTGTCAGTTGCAGTTTATTCCAATCTCATCTCCATTCTCCTCTGATTCTCCTTATGCCTCTCCCTTTCTGGATCCCTCCCTCCCCCCCTGCAGATTAGAGAGAATAATGTATTTAACTTTCAAAACTTCAGTTTAAATTTATGTTATGTTGGCATGTATTTCTTTATGCCCGATTTCCAGTATTTTTAAAATGATTTCACCACTTGGTGGAGCTCTTTTATAAGTTGTGTTTTTGTAATGAAAATCAGGTAGTTCAGTCAGGTTAGTTTAGGAAAACTAACTGATACTTCAATCAGCAGAGCCTGGCAAGCTACCCATGATGTATTCAATATGCCAAACACAGTAACAACAAGTCTCAAAATGGAGACGTTACTGGGCCTGCTCAAGCAAATCAATGAACAGCTGGAGGACAGTGACAGTGACAGTGACTTCAATCAGTAACCTCTTAAATTGTATTTTAAAACTTAATGTATATAATTGAAGTTTAATTCCCAAAGATATATCTTGAGTTTATTTCTACTTTTCCTCTCCTATTTACATAAATGTAGCATGATTTTATTGGCTTAATTTTTCTAATTTAAGTACAAATGACCTTGGGGCCTGGAAGCAGTATATGCAACCTTGCATGTAGCTGACCTGTTTTTGATTCCTGGTACCCTCTATGGTCTCCTGAGTCCACCAGGAGTGGTCCTTGAGTGCAGAGCCCTGAGGACTTCTAGGTTTGCCCCCCAAAATGCCAAAGTACAAAACAAAAAAAATAGTAGTACTACATTAATATGAAAAGGAAAAGAAATTGTAAACAGAACAAAAAAAAAAACCAGACTACTGAATGGGAGAGGGTGGTTTGCACATTATGCATCTGCTAAGTGGTAATAACCATGGTACATAAAGAACTTGTACAACTTAAGAATAAAAATCAATGCAGTTAAGATTGGGTAGAAGGGCCTGAGAGATTAACGGGTTAAGTTGCTTGCTTTGCATGTGGCTGACTCTGGTTTGAATCCCCAGCAGACATATGGTCTCACCTGAAGTGGAGCCAGGAATAACCCTTGAGCACCACTGGGTGCACTTCTCTGCCCACAAGAAAAATACTGCCCCCAGCGAAGACATACAGATGGTTGATAGGTATATGACAAAACGCTTAAAAGTGATGACCAGAGAAATGTAAATTAAGACCACAATAAGATATCACCTCACACTTGTAACCTGATTGAAGCAAAAGAAGCAATAACAGCTTATGATGGAAATTGTGTAAAAAGAAAGAAGAATAACAGTTTATGTTGGAAATGGTGTGGCGAAAAAGGAACCTTCATGTACTGTTGATGGGAATGTAAATTGTTGCTACCATTTTGGTTGAAAAATGCGGCGAACTTCCATAAGAAACTGAAAGAAAGTGCCTAAGCACATAATTCAGAAATTATAATCTTAAACTACAAAAGTATTACTATAAAAAGTTATGTTCTTTCCAGTGTTATTTCAAGTTTACACTAAATAAAATTTGTACCATATAGTACCCGTCAATATACTACCTGTCAATAGACGATTGGCCAAAGAAGATGTAGCACACATTTTAGTGATGGAAATAATGTAATACAATTCAGCTATAAGGTGAAAAGTTTTCATTTGCAACAAAATAGGTGGAGCTCAAAGAAATTTCATAAAGTAAAATAAATCTAAATAATCTGAATGATGTAACCTATTTTTTGTTATATATATATATTTATGTATTTACACATACATGTAAAATTGATGAGCAGAAAAAACAAAAAGACACAACCATGTACATTGATGATAGAACTAAGGTTACCTCAGAAAAAGAGAGGAGAAGAAGGAGAGGAACAAAAGAGAGGGTGTAAAAATACAGATGAAGTAGTCAAATTTTGTTTTCAGTTCCCCATTGGAAAATCAGAAATCTTGATAGAGTAACCAGAACTGGAAAGCAGGATAAAATATAAGAGATGTTTGTGTGAAGGTCAAAGGATTACTATGGAAGTGAATGAGATTGCTGGGGAAAGAAAATATTGGAAAACAAATTTTGAGATAGGAAACATTGAAAAAGTGAGGAAGAAAAGACAATGTATATGTTAGAATGTTTTAAAGCTGAGGAATAAAGTTTCATGGGGTAGAAGGAGGGAGGAAATGGCAGTAATGTCAGAAATCTTGAATGAAACAAAAAATAATCACTTAATTTAGAAGACAGATATCTTTGAGGATTTGGAGAATAACCTCTATGGCATAGTTCTTGTATAGTAAGAGAAACATGTTGAGTAATATAGGTATGTATACTATAAATGTATTTAGCGTGTGTGTGAATATTCAAAAAATGACAAGATTTATGGTGTAAGAACAGTAACTTCACAAGGACAAGGGATAGAGAGAGCATCTTTTTTTATTTTGAAGGTGTTGCAAGTTTATTTTGCATCTATATTAGAATGAGATTGTAGAAAGAAAATTGTTAAGAGAAATTGTAAAAAGCAGGCAGAAAGGATTTAATAAATTTGAGATGAGAAGCATTGTATACAAAAGGTAAATAGGGATTAGATTGTTAATTTGAAGGTAGAGAAGAATATCAAAGTCAGAAGAAAGTAGGAATTTATATGAAGATGTAGACACTTTGACTGTTAGTAATATTAGAAGATGATGATAATAGAAATTATTTGATGTTGAGACTTCAGATACTAATTTTTTAACCTAAAATAGAAATCAAGAACTAAAATATAATATAAGAGTATATAAGGCTAAAGTAATTGTATTTTATATAACTTTTGCAGTATTTGTATAATTTACACAATTACATATAAATTACATTTTATAAAATATTTTATATAATAATTGGATGACTACATATAGAACTTATGATAGGGTAAGGAGATTACTGAAAAATGTAAGAATTGATAACTTTACAGACTCATTGATCTCTAAATTTTCTATGGAAAGTCAATTTAAATTTTTTATCTTCATAATAAGTTTTTGCTTTACATTTAAAATTTGAGTGTTATAAGTATGGCATTATAACAAGTGTTTTTATGTCATTTTAGTGTTAATTTTGTTGAATAAGAGAATTGCATACAGTTCTCAAAGCAGATGCAGTATGTGAATGATTTAATGCGATGAACTTTTTTCTTGTTTCTAGGAAGATTATATTCAAAAGAAAAAAGAACTGTGGGGAATCTGTATCTTTATTGCGGCAGTTGATTTAGATGAGATACCATTCACTTTTACGGAGCTACAGAAAAACATAGAAACCAGGTAAAATATCTTCTAAATTTTTTTGTTGTTTTGGGCCACACTTGGCCGTCCTCAGAGCTTAATCCTGGCTGTGTGCTCAGGAATCATTCTTGGCTGTGCTAGGAGGACCGTTTGTGGTGCTAGGTATTGAACCTAGATCAATTGTCTATGTACAAGGTCTACCCTATCCGTTGTTCTGTCACTCCGACCCTAAGGACTCTGTTAACTTTTTAGTTTATTGAGTTACAGAGGATTAATTTGTGAACTAAATCTTAATTTAGGATTTTAATTTTGAACTGAAAATTACAACTACTTTATAGAATTATGAGAAATAACAGTGAATAGAGAGTAAACAGCTCATAGAATCAATGAGAGACTAATTTACACTGTTTTCGTGTGACCTATGTATTCCCCTCCCCTTTTTTTAAAGAAAGGGCTTTATTGGTAGTATACAGGTAGGTTGGAAGATTACAGACTCATCTTCAAAACAACCACCTTAACTGCATGGTCTCAAGGAGGGCTTTTTTGGGTAGGAAAATAAAAGGGTAAAATGAGTGGGTTGAAAACTGGTAGGCTTCATCACCCTAGTTTTTTTCAAACTTTAAAAAAATTGTTCTGAAGAAATTTATAATCAGTAAATTATTTGTATACCTATTTTATATACCAGCATATCTCAGGGTTGTATAAAAATTTCTTAGGAAAATGCATTGCAGATGGAAAATGTTTAATTACAGCCCTTACTACCAATTAGAGCCTCCCTTCCAAGGGAAAAAAGACATAAATCATTAGATTCTATGATACTGTGACATGAATTTTGCAAGTTAATATTTTAGCTAAATAAGCACTTATGCTAATAGGATAGTAAAAGATAAAAAGAAAAAGAAACCTCTCCCTAGGTATTCTGGAAAGACTTAAGTATAGAGATAGAGTAGAAAAGAGACATTTTTTCAGAAAGATATTTTTATTTTTTTATTCCTTTTATTTTTATGTAGGAGTACTGCTATTTATTCAGCCACTGATTAGGCTGATTGAATTTTGCATGAACTCCACCTTACTTTTTTTCCCCCATTTTTTATAATTTTACTTATTGAATCACCATGAGAGCAGTTACAAAGCTTTCGGGTTTAAGTCTCAGTCATACAATGAAACACCCATACCTTCACCAGTGCCCACTCTCCACCTCCAAAAACCCCAGTATATCCCCATCCCACACCCTCCCCCTATGTATGGGGCAGATGATTTCCAAATTACTTTTTGATCACATTCAACATTTCGATACCACACCCACCATTATGATTTGGGATTTTACCCCAACACTGAGATCTGCCGAAAAGGCAACAGTTGTTAGACAATTTGTTTTCTGTTGCTGGTCATGAATAATATATGTCACGTGGTTGCAGTAGTGGCTGTGCAATTTTGAAATTCTGAAATTTTAACAATTAAATCTGGAGAGATTTCCTGCCACAACCTGCTAGGTTCCGAGATCTGTTCCTGAGTCTCTGGGATCATGGCCATTAAGCAGCTTGATCAGGAGCCAGAGAGGCCATTTGTGGGTGGCGACTCAGGGTCTCATTAAGACGAAGAGGAAAGGGCCGGCTCCACACCCATCCCATGAGGCCCCACGTGTCTCGTTACTACGGGCCCAAACCTCACTGTCCAGTGGCCTCTGGAAGATGGCGGCCACTGAGCCACCTAGGGGGAGCAGGCACAGGGACAACACCCTTTCCCCCCTAGGGTGGCCTGGCAACAGTAACCTACTGCGTGGCCCACACTCATTTTTGCCAAAAGCTGCTGGGTTTTGAGATTTGTTTCTCAGTCTCTGGGATCATGGCCATTAAGCAGCTTGATCAGGAGCCAGAGAGGCCGTTCATGGGCGCCAACCCAGGGTCTCGTTGGGATGGGGAGGAAAGGCCGGCTCCACCCCCATCCCGTGAGGCCCCATGTGTCTCATCACTGCGGGCCCAAACCTCACTGTCCAATGGCCTCTAGGAGATGGTGGCCATCAAGCCGCCAAGGGGGGAGCAGACCAAGGCACGAAACCTATTCCCACCTGGGGTGGCCCAGCACCGGTAGCCTGCTGTAGGGACCGGACGCATTTCTGCCAAAAGCTATTGGGTTTCGAGATTTGTTTCTGAGTCTCTGGGATCATGGCCATTAAGCAGTTCAATCAGGAACCAGAGAGGCCATGCCTCCAATTATATAGCTGAGCCGGAGGTAGTTTGTGGGTATGTCTCCCACCTACCTAACTTTTGGCTGTTTACTTTCTTGGAAAAGTTTGCCCCAAGTTTTTGGGCTCTGGCCAAAGGCACAGCAGCAATTTTGGGGTATCTAGAAGTCTGAAGGCGCCATGAGGCTGCTGATGCACTCGCCTTAGAAGTACAGATTGACCTGCTGGTGGCACCGTACCCCCCTTTTTATTCCTTTTTGATGGGTTTGCTATACCACTAACATTTCAAAGATGTGATGAAGGATGAAAAAAGTAAAGGAGAAATGCAAAGATTATCTTGGTTTTTTTTGTTCCATGTTTTAAGGTTAAAGATGAGATATAGAGAAGGAGAAAGGTTATCGAATGAGAAATGATGTCTGACCTCAAGAAAATCCAGTGGGAAAGATAAAATTACATTCAGAGACTACTAAAGAAATAGGACAGAGAAAAGCTATAATGTCTTTTATATATGATAAAAGCTTTTTACAAGCATTTTTCATCAGTATTTATGGAACATGGAACATGGTATGTTCTTATTATCCCATTCATTATGGGAGTCATTTAGTTTGTGTAAGACTTTAATTTTTTTATCTTTAAGTTTTTATAAAATGCCAAAGAATATTTGGTGTGGGATGAATAGTCTTCTGAATAGAAATATTTATGATTTTTATTTAAATTTTTGAAAATTTGTTTGTTTGGGAGCCACACCTGGTGGAGGTGTCAGGAGTTAGTCCTGGCTTTGCACTTAAGAATCACTCCTGGTGGGCTCACAGGACCATATGGGATGCCAGGGATCAAACCTGGGTTGGGCACATACAAGGCAAGCATCCTATCTGCTCTACTCTCTCTCTCTCTGGCTCCAATGTTTATGCTTTTTAAAAGGAATACATTTTTTAAAAATTTACTGATTCACTTTTATCTTTTTTTGTAGTGTCTATAAGTTCTTTGATTTACTAAAAGAAATTGATACCAGTACTAAAGTTGACAATGCTATGTCAAGACTTTTGAACAAATACAATGTATTGTGTGCACTCTACAGCAAATTAGAAAGGTAAAGTACAAGTTCTATTAGGATTTTATTCTGGTTTTTAATCACTGTTCATAATTATTTTCAATTTGGGATTTTTTAATTCTTAGTAAACTTATTATCTCTTAAGTTTTGTACTGTTTGCTATTGATTTCATATTCTTAGTTCTCTTATTTATGTAATCATAGGTGATTTTAATTTTTTCTGAAAATTTAGCTGCTTTATTATCATTTCATGTCCCTCTTAATTTATTTTAACCATTTTTATTGAGGTATTGTATATATTATACTTACCTCCAGAGAGCCTGATTCCCTTCACCAGTGTCCCCAGGTTCCCTCCCACCCCTAGCCTGCCTTCTTAACCGACATATTTTTAGCTTTGATTGTTGTAGCTTGGATCTTATTCTTTCAGCGTTGTTGGGACTGTGGTTTAGATTTATTGGTACACCATATATACCTCTACCCCACTACTGTGCTTGCCCCCTACTTCTGACATTTGTCTCTTACTTCCCCCACTAGATTTCTTTCCTTTTTGACCTTCTCCTATCTATATTCTAGGGTTAATAGTAATCTAAGTATCCCATCTTTAAAACGGTGCATTCCCTCTTCCTTTTATTTATATACCATAGATACGTGAGATCATCCTGTGTTTGCCCTTCTTCTGGCATACTTTACTTACGATGATATTCTCTAGTTCTATCCAAGTTGCAGTGAATTGCATAATTTCATAATTTCTTGCAGGCGCATAGTATTCTATCATGTATCTATGCCACACCTTGATAATACCCTCCTCTGTGCTTTGCTATTACTTTAAGTGCTGCAGTGAATAAAGGTGTGCGTATGTCCTTTTGAATGGATGTTTTTGTTACCTGGGGGGTAGATCCCAGAAGTTTGATTCCTGGCTTTAATGGCAGTTCAATTCATACTTTTTTGAGAAGTCTCCACACTGATTTTCATAGGAATTGAACCAGACAACATTTCCACCAGTAGGAGATGAGAATTCCCTTTTCATCACATCCCTCACTAAACAGATTATTTTTTGATATGTGCCGTTCTCACTGTTGTGAAATGTTTCATTGTTGTCTTTATTTGTATTTCCCTGTAGTAATTGCTGATGATCACTTTTCCCAGTGCCTATTGGCATCCATCTTCTTCAGAGAAGTGTCTTTTTATTTCCTCTCCCATTTTTATTTTATTTTTAAATTTTTATTATTCAAAATTAAATTTTATGGCTACGCCTGGGCGATGCTCAGGGGTTACTCCTGGCTCTGCTCTGGGGAATCATATAGTATGTCAGGGACTGAGCCCAGGTCAGCCATGTGCAACGCAAGCTGCATGCTTTACCTACACTATTGTCTCTCTGGCCCCTCTTCTCCCATTTTTAATAAGGTTTTTTTGGGGGGGGGCGGGTTGATGTTTGTGAGTACTTTAGATATCTTAGATATCAACCCTTTATATGATGTTTTGAGTGCAAATATTTTCTCCCATTCAGTTGGGTGTCTTTTAGTTTTAGCCAGTGCTTCTTTTGCCGTAGTCCCATTTATTTATTTTTGATTCTATTGCCTTTGCCATTAGAATCATACATTGAAAACATCTTTGAGGTTCAAATCTGTCTTATTTTCCTCAGTGTCCTTTATGGATTCTGGTTTGATCTCAAGGCTTTTGATCTACTTTGAATTGACTTTTGTGTCGGTTGTGAGACATAAATTCAGCTTCAGGATTTTTTTTTAACATGTAGTTATCTAGTTTTCCAAGCACAATTTGTTGAAGAGGCTATCTTAACTCCATCTAATCAGCCCAATTCCTTTGTAGAAATTAGTTGACGATTAATCTGGGGACTTGACTCTGGGCACTCGATTCTGTTTCAGTACCATGCTGTTTTGGTCAGTAAAGCTTTAGAGTATAGCTTTAAGTTAGGTAATGAGATTCCTCCCAGTTTCTTGTTTTTCAGTATGACTTTGACTGTTCAAGTTATTTTATGATTCTATATAAAAATTATTATTAATCTAATTCCTTGAAGAATGTCATCTAAATTTGAATAGGAATTGTATTGAATCTCTATAATAATTTAGGTAGGATGGTCGTTTTGACAATATTGAACATGGAATATTTTTTCATATTCTAAGGTATTTTATTTCTTTCTTAAGTGACTTAGAGTTTTCTGGTCTAGCTCTCTCACCTCTTTTGTTAAACTGATTTCCAGATGCTTGATATAATGCTTTATTGTTAGAGGGTTGTATATAGAAAATAATGATCATTTAGTGGGAAAAATATTGTGTATATTTTAGGATATCAAAAAATTATGCAACATATATTCATCCTACAGGGAGTTTGTGGTTTTCCTTGGACACTTACACATGTTTTATAAAAATCAGGGCTTGGAAAGTTTTCTTTCATTATTTCATTAAATATCTGTTCTACTTATTTCTCTTTTTTTCTTTTACTTTCTGGTTTATCTGTTAGTCATATTTTTGTCATTATTTTGATTTATGTCATTTTTCTGAGCCTCTTTTGTTGATCTTATACACAGATATATCTTGAAAAGATTCAATTACAAAGAGGATTCTGAATTACAAATGTACATAGATGTTGTAATGGTGTGTAAAATCTAAAATTGGGATAAATCTCAAATCTATTAAGTTTTATTTTATAATATATATTTCAAAAATGTATACTTATTGATAATCATGATATAATTTGTAAATTATAAAAAGTGACTTTTAAAATTCTATAATGTTAATATAGTTTCTTCTTCCTTTCAGGACATGTGAACTTATCTACTTAACACAGTCCAACAGTTCGTAAGTAATTTAAAGCATGTGACTTTTTTTACTCTTTGTTTTTTATAATGATTTATAGAAAAATCCCAACCCTGGTAATGTCAGGGTTAGTTTAATTATAGTGTGCTACTTAACAGCTTAGATCTAACCCGACAGGTAGGATTATTAACTTCTCACATAATTTTTCTTTTACTACTGAAGTGGAAATTGATTCATTGTATTATCACCAACTGGGGAAAAAATATATACTTCATTGACTTAATCTTTATTGAGTCCTAGTAAAATTATTTTATTAATAACTAAAACTCACATTTAATTTTTTGGTAAGAATGAATGTGAAAGTCCATATTAAAGTTTCTAGGGGCTGAAGAGATAGTGTAATGTACTGGAGTGCATATTTTACAAGCAGGAGGCCTGCATTTGTTCCCCACCACTCTGTGGTCCCCTGAGCTTTCAGGGGACAATCAGAAGCAATCCCTAACAATGAGCCAGAAGTACCCCCTAAGACTGTGTGTATAGGAAAAAAAAGTCAAAAATAACACAAAATTTAAAATTTACAAATTATTATTTTAGTTTATTTATATGCTTCAGCAGTATTCCCATGTAAGATTTCTAGGATTTTTCTTTGAAAATAGTAAGTTGCATCTGAGATTTTTCTGCCCTCTACTGGTATTGAATATGATGGATGTAAAGGAAAATTATGTTGTTATAAACCTATGAGTTCCAAGAAGTGATTATCTGTGCAAAATTATCAAGGCATAGTGTTAGATTGAGAGTAGAGTCACTTAAATCTCTGCTTTTTCTGATTAAAGAGTTAATTTTTGAGAACAGAATTGGAAACCCAAGTATACCAGAACATAGTATTTCCAGTGCAAATTTCAGTATTAAAATTATGACAGTATTTGCCTAACAAAATATATACTGCTCTTTGGGCTAAAAAGATATCTTGCTGAAAATGCTAGTTGAATTAATGCAAAGTTTAAATTGTGCATTTGGTACATATTGTAGAGGCCAAGAAGGCTGCTCAAATGGTAGAGCATACGCTAACTTGTACTGACCCTAATTTTGACCTGCACCAGGTTGAGATTTGCTGGGTATGGTTCCATTGAAAGTAAATAAGCAAATATTTAAAAATATACTGTGTTCTATTCTGCATTTATTTCATGTCTCTATTATAAAACATAGGGGATAAAAAGGAATAATTTGAAAACTCAATGTAAACCTTGTCTTTTTTTATTTACTAGAGTAACTACTGAAATAAACTCTGTGTTGGTGCTAAAAGTTTCTTGGATCACATTTTTACTAGCTAAAGGTAAAGTCATTTTTATCTGTTAATACTAATTTCAGTGTAAAACTAAGTAATTCTTTTGTGTTAAACACAAAATGTTTTGTTCATTTAATGCCACCCTCCTTTCATAACAAGAGCTAATAATCATTAATGTGATCTGATTGTTGGGGCTAAGCCTTATTACAGTGGGTAGGGCATTTGTTTGCCTTGCCTGTGGCTGACCTGGGTTCAATCCATGTCATCCATATGGTTTCCTGAGCACTCCCAGGAGTTGATTCCTGAGCACAGAGCCAGGAATAACCCCAGTGCATAACCAAAACCAAAAATCTGATTGTCATTCCTGTAGTTTTTGTGTGTGTGTGTGTGTGTGTGTGTGTGTGTGTGTGTGTGTGTGTGCGCAGTAGAGGTGAATAGAGGAGAGCAATCATGTGTAGGTATGTCTTTCTAAAACAGGATCACATTATAGCTTTTTTTTTTTTTTCTTTTTGGGTCACACCTGGCGATGCACAGCGGTTACTCCTGGCTTTGTTCAGGAATCCCTCCTGGTGGTGCTCCGGGGACCATATGGGGGATGCTGGAAATCAAACCCTGGTCGGCTGTGTGCAAAGCAAATGCCCTACCTGTTGTACTATTGCTCCAGCCCCCCTCACATTATAGCTTTATCGTTAAAAAGCAAAAAAAGATTTTTACCTAAATTCTCTTGCAAAATAAGCAAGAATCATGGAACTTACATTTAGGTCAGTGTTTTGTCACTAAGCAGTATTATTTCCTAAAACATTTCTCTGAGACTGAAAACACAATGAAAAATTTAACCATTTGGCTTTGATCAACTTTGTGTTTTGATCTAAAGCAATAGATATTTATATCCTTTGAAAAAAAGGAATGTTAATATTCTCATTTTTCTACTCTTCTCCTTTTATTCCGCTTTCAGATTTGCTCATTTTATTGTTAGTATCATGTAATCATGATTATAACCTTTACATGTGTTCTATAATAATCACACTTGTTTAATCCCTCCTGTAATTAATTTCTAAGTTTGACTCTGAGTTTATCATCACTCTTGCTTATATCATGCTTATCTTGCTTATTCATTTTTTGATTCTTTGCTGTTAACCGACTAGATTTTACAATGACAGAATTCTTTAAGGAAGGGCTTAGGGGTCAGAGAAATAATAGAGCAGGTAAGACACTTGGCTTGCTTACAGATAACCTTGGGTTTGATCCCTGGCACCACATATAGCCCCCTGAGGACGGAGCCAGGGGTAAGCTTGTATGCTGCTCTTTGTGCCCTAAAATGAGAGAGGCTGAGGGAGGAGGGTGGGTTCCTTGGTTAGTTATGGGTATGTTAATGAATCATATTCAAAGACTTTATGCTTGAAGAATAGTTTGGCTATATGTCTTATTCTGTTTGTTTTCTTTAGGACGTTATAGTCTCAGTGGCATTGAACTCTGCCATTGAGAAAACTAATTTAATTTAACTAATTTAATTTTCCATCTTCATCTGCTGAGTACTATAAGAATTGTTTGTTTGTTTGTTTGTTTGTTTTCAGTTTGAGACTTGATATTTTAACTGCACTGTAGCACTGTCCTCCTGGATTTGCTCGTGCGGGCACCAGTAACATCTCCATTGTGAGACTTGTTACTGTTTTTTGGCATTGCCAAAAAAGGAGCTTGCCAGGCTTTGCCATGTGGGCGAGATAATCTTGGTGAGGTGCCGACCTCTCCGAGAGGGGTGGAGGAATCAAACCCGGGTCAGCCCCATGCAAGGCAAACACCTTACCCACTGTGCTATCGCTCCAGACCAATATTTTAACTGATAATAAAATTAGTGCACAAGACACTGGAATAAGACCCAGAGTTCAGTCCCTGGTACTGAATACCCCAACCTTTCTTAGCACTTGGAGCTGAGTACTGCCGTTCTGGGCCAAGTATTACTGGTGGCTCCTAAAAATCTAAACAGAAAAAAAAAAGTCATAATAACAAAGTAAAATCACAAAATGGAATGGGAATTATAGCTCAGTGGTAGAGCATGTGCTTTGCATATGAGAGGTCTGGTTTAACACGTAGGAGCTGGGATAAGGCCCAGAGTTCAGTCCTTGGTGCTGAATACTACTCCTCTGGGCCAAGTATTGCTCAAAGTAGCTCCAACCAAAAAAAAAAAAAAAAGAAACCAAACAAACAAAAAAATGTAAAATCACATGACGGCTGGGAATTGTAGTTCAGTGTTAGAGCATGTACTTTGCATATATGAAGCCTGAGCTTAACACCTAGCAAATAATTAATAAACCCAAGATAGTCATAGCAAATTTATTATTATTATTTTGATCATGATTTGTGTATTTTGTGTAGTTATACTATTTTTCTTTTAATTATATATTGTTTCCTGTATTCTCATACTTCTGTTTATGTATTGGTACATCAACTTTTAAGATGTTTTTTCTAAATTGCATTATAGATAAATTTTTAATTATATTAATTTTGAATGGCCTTGGTTCTTTGCAGCATTTAATTTTTTTTTAAAGTTAAATCACTGTGAGATACACAGTTACAGAGTTGTTCATGATGGAGTTTATAAGTTTATCACTTATAATATTGTATATTTTATATATTTCAAATCAGTCTTGAATTTTTATCAAAAATATCTTCAGTGATTTAAAGAACTTTTTAATTCTTCCAGTCATTGTTGGATAAATGAGTACATAAATATAGCTATGCCCCATATTTTCTAACTTAGAAATTTCAGTCTCTAACTCTCCTTAAAAATGTGAACCTATTTTTCATTTTCAGGGGAAGTATTACAAATGGAAGATGATCTGGTGATCTCCTTTCAATTGATGTTGTGTGTCCTTGACTATTTTATAAAACTCTCACCACCTGCATTGCTCAAGGAACCATATAGTAAGTACTTAAAACAATTCATATCTTTTCTGCTAAATTGTTAGTTATTTATTGAATGTATGTATGATCCAAAATGTGGTTCTGAAGTCAAGAGAGTGATAAAAATTAATACATATGAACTTTGCCCTTTGCCCTTAGGTTGCATAAAATATAGGAGAAAGAAGACAAATAAGAAAGTAATGAGGGGATGAATAAATAATAGAAACTGGTATAGACTGAAATGCAGCAAATAGTGTGAATGTTCTGGAAACAGAAAAATTTGAAAGAGGTAGCATTAGTAGTCTGTGTTGATGAATAATAGTGTTATGTGAAGCAGAGGCAAGAAACAAATATGTATGAAAATGCATGAGAAAGAACAGCTCATTCTATAGAATCAGCTTAACAAAATTTCTATTATTTGGATACTCAATGATAAAGTAATTTATTTTTTGCATGTGAATTATTCATCTATTCCAGTGACTGATGAGATGAGAAGTATATCTAAATAAAAATAACGTGCCCTAAATCATTAGTCTTTATAAAAGATGACATTCCTTTTAGAATGAAATTTCTTACCTTGGTAGCTTCAATAGTAAGATATCAAAATAACTTACTATGCTCCAGAAAAATGTAAGCTTAATTAAAATTGAACTTACTCTTTGCTTCTAAAATGGTGAGAACAGTGATAGTACCATGGGTAAAGAACTTGCTTGTACACTGTCAGCCCAGGTTCAATCCTTCTCCCCGCAAATCCTGCCAAGAGTAATCCCTAAATGCTGCTAGGTGTTAGTCTTCAGAACAAAACAAGACTCTTAAATTAGAAGACATTTTTAAAATCCTTTGTAGATTGATTAATAAACATTTACAATAGGTGTTTAGTTTTTTTTATTTCCCTTGCCTTTTTTTGTCTGGAAATTTTAAGTATTTTATAGTTTTATTTTTGACTAGTTCAAGGCAGAAGAAACAAGGGTTGGAAAAAAAGCTAGTATCAGTACATAGACATTCAATAAATAGGTGAAATGCTAGCCTTTTAATGAAGTTTAGTAAAAGCACTGTAGCACTGTCATCCTATTGTTCATTGATTTGCTCTAGCGGGCACCAGTAATGTCTCCATTGTGAGACTTGTTACTGTTTCTGGCATATCTAATATGGCACAGGGAGCTTGCCAGGCTCTGCCGTGTGGGATACTCTCAGTAGCTTGCCAGGCTCTCCGAGAGGGACGGAGGAATCGAACCTGGGTCTGCCATGTGGAAGGCAAACACCCTACCAGCTATGCTATCGCTCCAGCCCGTTTAGTATAAGAATATTCCAAAATTATTTTTGACCTTCCAAATTAGAATTTGAATTCTTTATTATATACAATGAAATGTACAATTGTTCTCATCTGAATTACCATTTTTACAGAAACAGCTGTAATACCTATTAATGGTTCTCCTCGAACACCAAGGCGAGGTCAGAACAGGAGTGCACGGATAGCCAAACAACTAGAAAATGATACAAGAATTATTGAAGTTCTCTGTAAAGAACACGAATGTAATATAGATGAGGTAATATAACTTCATGATTTTCTTTAAATAGTTAGATTTAGATATAAGTTCTCCTAATAGTATTAATTATTTTATGTTGAGTTTGCTTTTTGTAATTAGTGCCAGCATGCAGTAGCAACATAGTTAGAAAAAATTTTTAATTTTTGTAGCCATTTACTTTGATATTAAAGAGAATATTGTCCTCATACTAAAATCAATGAAATGTTTATCATTAAAGTAGTAGTTTGTAAAAGTGTTTGTTCATTTTTTTCTGGGTTATTGATGTCCCTAAATGTTTAAATTATTCTTTAAGAAAACCCTAGTGTTTTGGTTTAATATATGATGCCAACATTAAATGTATGTTTAGCTTTCTATAATTACCATCTATATTACAACAGATATTAATGGCTTAAAAAGCTCTTAGAATCCGGATTAGAATTGTAGGAATCTTACAAATAATATATTTAGTTTCCATTTTTCTGATAATTAGTAAACAAGCTTCTAGGGACTAATAGCTAGTTACTAACAGCCTACACTTTGTTAGTATCATTGCTTCCAGGGCTAACTTTCACTATGCTGCTTCTCTCATTGATAGTTACACAATCCACCATTCACTACTATTTGGAAACTTTTACGAAATACTACATATTTGAAATTTCTCTTGTCAGCTTTGAGAAGTAGAATATGATCTCACAATCTAATTTAAGAAGTGGCAAGAAAGTATATTAAGATATCTAGGCTTTAGTATTATGGTTTTTGTTAATTTAAACACGTATATAGCTATAGTTTTAGACCTGTAGATCTTTGAACATGTCTATGTTTGCTTTTTCTAGAATCACAGATTATTTTTGCTAATAAGCTGGTGAATGTAGTTGAAATAATGTTTTTCACTCCGGTCTGTTAATGAGTTGAGATTATTTATAGAAATACATTTTAATTACTTGTTAACGCTCCAAATTTCAGAGTTAGTTGTAAACTTTTGTTTTTGTTTTTATGGGGCCACATCCTGTGGTGCTCAGTGATTACTCCTGGTGGTGCTTGGGGAGACTATATGCAGTGCTGGGGATCTAACCTGGTGGGCTGTGTGCAAGGCAGGCACCCTACCTGCTGTACTATCTTTCTGTCCCTTAAAATTTATTTTTAAAGTCAGTGATAATATTTTTACTTTTTATTTTAAGCAAATCTTTTCCATTTTAGGATATAGTAATGATTTGTAAAGTAACTAAAATACTTGATAGTGTTGGCATTTGGTTGTATAGCTTTGGGGCATGTATAACTATTAATTATGGTTAATTATGTTTATGCTAAATAATGATTAAGTGTACTGATAGTTTTATTAACGTTACATACCTTATATAAATATTCTAGATACATGAAATTTAATTAGAAAGTATAGTATTACAATTTTTAAACTTATTTGTAGCCTATTGGAACTTTCACCTTAATAAATATAGATTTTAAATTTAGAAATAAAAATTAAATGAAGAAATGATAAATAAGTATTGCTGAGCTATTGCAAAGCGCTGCAGTGCGTATTTGGCAAGTACATGACCTCACGTTCATGCCCTGGCAAGACGTGAGCCTTGAGCACTACCAGCTGTAATGCGGGAGGCACTACTGGGTCTGAGTAGCACCCCATTTCTTGACTGAGTATTGCTGAGAATGACCCCCCTGAGCACTGCTTGGGAGGCTTCCCCTCCCTCTTATTCCTCCAAGAAATGATAAATTAAGACAAATTGTTTTAAAAAAAAAAAGTAACACATTGCAAGTGCTGTATGGCTAGGAATAAAGCTCCTGTTTATTTTGTTAATTCATGTTAATCAGTGGATGCTTTTTAAAGAACCTATGTAATTCTACAAAAATATTTTCTTATTTTAATTTTGGGAGAGCCTCCCAAGCAGTATTCAGAGGGATCTGGAAGCTACTCCTAGTGATACTCCACCAGTTGGACTGGACAGTTCAGTGTTTGGACTGGCAGTATGATGCTATGTGGGCTCAAGGTGCTGGGACCCTTGCTGGCTGCAACTGAGGTGCTGGGAGAGAGCATGTGGTGTGGGGCTGTACTGAGGGCCTCAAACATGCATGGTACCAGCCCTTAGAGTGATATTGCAGATCTTACTTTGATTTGACTTGAATTCCTGGGCACCATTTTTTTTGCATGTGAAATATAAACAGGCTGTTTTTGTAAGCATATGCTAAAAAATTGATTTCATATTTCCTGAACAGGTTTCAAAAGACCTGTGTGAAATAGCCCAAAATTATGTTTTTGAGAGACAACAGGTAGAGAAATAAAATGAATCTTGGGTTTGATGGCAAGTAGATGATGGGTTGTTTTTTATTTTTTGTTATGTTTTGTTTTTTTTGTTGTATTTTATTTTGGAGTTCACACAGCAAGGTTTAGAAACTGTTTCCTACCCTCTGCTCAGGGGTTGCTCTTAGCAGTGCTTAAGGGACCTTTAGCCCATGAGGAATTGAACTCAGGCCCTCTGCGTATAAAGCATACACATTCACTTAGTTACATTACTTTGGTGAAGTTGCTTAAAGTCTTTTTTGTTTTGAGCCATTTATTTCTTCATTGTTTGTTAAATGTAGAAAATTGAATTTGGTTTCAGTGGGTTCCCTCTCCAAAATCTCATTTCAGTGAATTCTTCACTCCACTTCCAATTTAAGTCCTAAAATATACCTCCCTAATTTAGAACTAAATAATTGAATCATTATAAAATAAATGCAATACTAGATTGTCATTGATTAAAATGTCCAGTGATACTTTCATTGTTACGTTAATGTTGTCAAAGATTTAGTTTTTCAAAAATGTTAATAGCCATGTTTTCACTTTATCTTTTTCAGGTGAAAAATGTTTATTTCAAAAATTTTATACCGTTTATGAATTCTCTTGGAATTGTAGCTTCCAATGGACTTCCAGAGGTAATCTGAAAGAAAACTTAGTAGAAAGTTAATATCTTTGTAACTTTTATAGATATATAATCTTAATAAATGAAATACTATCCTGTACCGTCCTGTCCTCCCGTTGTTCATCAATTTGCTTGAGCGTGTACCAGTGGTGTCTCCATTGTGAGACTTGTTGTTTCTGTTTTTGGCATATTGAATATGCCACGGGGAGCTTGCCAGGCTCTCCCATGCGGGAGGGATACTCTTGGTAGCTTGCCAAGTTCTCCAAGAGGGGCAGAGGAATTGAGCCCGGGTCAGCTGCGTGCAAGACAAATGCCCCACCTGCTGTGCTAAATACAATCTTAATAAATAAAAAATTATATTGCATATATATTAGAAAGTTATAGTATAAGTAGTCTTCTTTGGGGTATTGCTTTTTAAACTATGATTAGAAAATTATGAATCAGAATTTCTAAAAAGAATTAATGAAGTATAGAAATTCTAAAAGAGTTAAGTATTTGAAATAAATTAAGTAGTTTTATTGGGTTAACTCATCTGATTATTTTATCCATCATACTTGACTGAAAGGCACCTAGTAAACTCAAGGGGCTTAGAAAAGATAGACAGTGGGACTGGAGTAATAGCATAGTTGGTAGAGTGTTTGCCTTGCATGTGGCAGACACAGATTTGATCCTGGCACCACCTGTAGTTGGTCCTCCAAGCCTGCCAGGAGTGATCCCTGAAAACAGAGTCAGGAATGAGCCCTGAGCATAGCAGGTGATGGCCAGAAACCAAAAAAAGAAAAGATAGGCAGAGTATATAATCAGAAGAATTTATCTTAGTGTTTGAAAATATTTTATTTTGTTATATATTAATAACTGTACTAAACAGTGAAAAAAGGATAATTTGGAAGATCTTGATTGTAAGTGGTTATAGATAATGATTATTTTTAGTTTATGATTCTGTCTCAATACTGTTTTGTGATATTTGTGAGTGTACATAAAATACTATGGATTGCACGCATAAAATAGGTTTAAAATTCAAATTGAAAAAAAATATTTTTAGATTTATATTGCTAATGAACTTAATATATGTTATAAAGGGAAATGTGTATTGTATAAAAATTCTATAAGTTTGTACAGAATGTGTATTGTATAAAAATTGTATAAAATTGAATAAAAATTCTGTAAGTTTTTTAATCTGCTGAGAGATGTAATGACTTTGACTTGAAAAAGATAATTAGTATTTTATTCTATTGAGGTGGAAAGTCTCTCTAAACAATATGAAGAAATTTACCTTAAAAACAAAGATCTGGATGCAAGATTATTTCTGGATCATGATAAAACACTTCAAGCTGATCCTACAGACAGGTGTTGTACATGCTGTATTTTTATTTGTTGATATGCTTTTGCTATAGATTGATTTTTATATATGTAGGTTTAAATATAACTGTGATTTCAATTATTTGTGGCAAATATAAATGCTTTTATATAAGTTTAGGAAGTTGACCAATCTAAGCATATACTTTATTAACAGATTTATTTTGAATTGTTCTCTGGCAACTGTCTTTCAGGTGAATGTAATTTCAAGGTATGCACCAAAAGAAAATTGTTTAGATAATTTATGCAAGTAGTGGTCTGTCTTTTTTTTTTAAATCTTCTTTGATGTTTAATCTTCTAGCATTTGCTTGGTCCATGTTTTCAAAGTTAATGCCAGTTAACTTAAAAATTTTTTTCTCTTTTGAATTGTCGTGTAGATGTCTAAAATGTAGAAATAGTTTAAAGTGCTAATTTTGAACAATTATAAGGTCACTTTTAAGCTTTTGCAATGATGTCTGTTTTCATTTCTTTTTTGGAGGAGATGTGGCGAGGTAGGGGTATTCAGGAGACTCAGGATCCCCTCCTGGAGAAACTCAGTCAACTGGGCAAGCACCACTTTGACAAAAGTTCAGGCCTTAAGGCCTGCACCCAGCAATGCTGAGAGGGACCACAAGAGATAAATCTATCTCTTTGAACCCTGTTTGAAGGCTTTTTTTCCCCCCCTGCCTGAGGTGTTGGGGATGGAACCCAAATGTAAGACAGGTGCTCTCCTTTTGCCTCATACTTAGCTAATTCTTTTAATATATAACTGAAAAAAAAATACACATAATCTGTAAGTTAAATACCAAGTATTCAATTTTGTTTGAGTTAAAACTTTTAGAAAACAGGATTGAAAACTTTTGAGCTTTAATTTTTAACAAACTAACCAATTTGGTTAGTAATTTTATCTGACATTTTTCTAGAGAAAACATTTAAGTTATTAGAGAAAATTGCTAAGTTTGACTTTCTCAACAGCTCTTCCTGACTAGAGTACTGGTTTGTTATAGACATAGTGAAAAGAATCTTAAAAGCATTGGTGAGAGTCTAGAGAGAGTATAGCAGATAGGACATTTTCCTGGCATGCAAGGGACCTGAATTTGATCCTGATGTCGGATATGGTCCCCTTAGCCCTGCCAGAAGTGATCCCTGAGCACAGAGTCAGGAATATGCCCTGAGCCCTAATGGATATAACCCCAAGTCAAAAAAGAAAAAAGAAAAAATAGTGGAAAAAAATTAAATTTTGGAGCTAGAGCGATAGACAGGGTCTTGCCTTGCAAATGGCCTACCCAGATTTGATCGCAGCACCCCATGTAGTTCCCTGAGCTCACCAGGAAAGATTCCTGAGTGCAGAGCCAGAATTATGTCCTGAACATGGCTGATTGTGGCCAAAAAAAAAAAAATCAAGAAAAAAACCCAACTAAAATTTCACTAAGCAACTTTGCATGATCTATTTCCTATTATTTTCATTTACTCACATACTGATTTGTATGTTTCATGAGGGAACAGAAGGTAATATATATTTTTTTGATTCATAGAGCACAGAGTGTAAGATTTCTGTTTGAATGACTAACATTTTAGTTTGAATGACTTTGCTTATCATTATTTAGTTTAGAATTGCAGAGAACACCACGCAAAAATAATCCTGATGAAGATGTGAATGTGATTATTCCACAAACTCCAGTTCGGTATGTATTTTCTTTTTTAATTTTTTTGTTTTTTTGGTATATGGTCCATGCCTGGCAATGCGTGGGAGTTACTCCTGGCTCTGTACTCAGAAATTACTTTTGGTGGTGCTTGTGGGAGACCATATGGGATGCAGGGGAGTGAATCTGGGTTGACCATGTGCAAGGCAAGCAGACAAGCACCGTACCTGCTGTACTAGGAGCTCTGGCTCCTAGGTATGAGTTTTCTTACTTTAGATTTTTATTCTAACTGTTTATTCAGTGCTTTGTTGTAACTCAGAGTTTGTTTTGTTTTGCTTAAAAACTACAGGATTATAAACAGTTCTGGAGGTTGTGTGGTGTAGGAGCGTGCGGGAGAGGGAGCAGTGATCATAGCCAACTATGCTCAAGGGGTACTCCCTGCTCAGTATTCAGATGTTGCATGCTCCTTGCAGTACTTGGAGGACCACATCCATGCTACAGGAGATGTGACTTGGGCCTCTGTATGCAGAGTACCATTTAGCCCATTCAGCTAACTTTTCAGCCTTCTGAATAGAAGCATTTTAAAAATGCTATCCAATATTATTGAATCTGTTATCAAATATTGATAGCATCTTGAAAGTAGACTATAGACCAAACACGATTGCTACTCAATGCCTCTTTTGCAAACCACAGCACCCAAAAGGAGAGAGAGAACAAAAGGGAATGCCCTGCCACAGAGGTAGGGTGGGATGGGGGGGGCGGGGGGTGGGGAGGGATACTGGGATCCGTGGTGGTGGAAAATAGGAATTGGTGGAGGGATGGGTACTTAATCACTGTATAATTGAAACCCAAGCACAAAAATTTGTAAGTCTACAACTGTACCTCTTGGTTTTTCACTAATAAAAATTTTTAAAAAATATTGATAGCATCTAATCTTAATCTTTTATAAAATCTGTTATAAATATTGTTGAATATACCTCCAAGATATTTGAGTCCATCTTCTGTTTTCCATTTCTATTCTCTACCTTTGTTCAAATATCTTCCCTTTTTTTTTTTTTTTGGTAATAGCTTACTATATGATTCTGCTGCTTCTGTCTTGCTGCTTCTGTTATCATTATTGTTCCTTTTTCTCCATAGAAGATCTATACACAGGAATCCCCCAAATTCTTAAAACATGCTTTTGGTCATACTCATCTTATTTGTTAAACCATCAGATTGCTGCTTACTGCAAGTGAAATAGAATGCAGATTCCTTATAAAACCAAATTGTACCTACAAGTCTTTTTCCATTTTGTGAAACATTTTTTTTTTTAGATTTCCACCGGTTACATTTCATCAAAAACATTTCTATTTAAAATATTTCTGTCAATTATTCATATTTTCTCTTTGATAGCAACCTGTTTTATTCCTCCATAGTATATATCATGGTTTTAGTTCATCTGTGTGTTTGGTTTTGAGCAATACCTGTAATAGTCTTAAATTCGTACCACCATTTAAGATCTAGGGCACTAGATACATAGTAGGTCATAAGTATTTTTCAAATGACTATATACAATGTATTTTAAAAACAATAGTAATAGAATTTTGATTGCTAGTGAGATCACAGAAAGGGCATAACATTTGAATATGAAAAGTTCTGTGTCACAGGAGACTTAGGAGCAATATGTGCAAATGATTTTATAAAGCAGCATTACTGGGGAACTGCAGTCTCTATCCATGGACTATAAAAGAGAAGATGAAATAGCCAGATAGAAGGATGAGTAATAGATTTGGAAGGACCTCATATGCCTTATTTATAGGCTTGGACTTTAGCTTGTGCATGATGAATCCTGTTGGCTAAAAATGGGTAGGTATTAAGTAGAGGAAAGAAAACATCAGAATAGATTTTTGAAAGTTTACGTGGGTGTAGTTTGTGAGGGGAGAGACTAACAAAAGGATGTGGTGAAACATAGGATGTGGTGAAACATAGACCTGCTAATATTTCAAGGTGCTTTTTAACCAGTGGTAAAAATTAGAATACACCAGGGAAATTTTTTTTAGAGTGCACATGCCGAAGCTCTACTACCCATGGATATGGTGGGTCTCTGAACTGCCTTGTAGTAACTCAGCTTAAAAATGATAAAGGCTGACCCACGAGTAGGCTTTGGGAGTGAAAAAACAGAAATAATTTTGGCAATAGCTAGATTCATATTTAGAATATTATTTTTCAGGAATTTAATGACTATGAAGAAGATAATTTATAAAATGCAGGAAACTTAGATTTGGGAATCAATATGGGAGGATTAAAACCATGAACAAATGATGTTGCCTGAAGTGGGAATATAATGGCAAAAATGGGTGGCTGTGGCTAGAGTGATAGTGAAGGGGGTAAGATGTTTGCCTTGCATGTGGCTTAGCCTGGTTTGATACCTGCCGCAGCATATGTGTTTCATTCCCCCTCCCCACAAAATGCCAAGAGTGATCCTGGAGCACCACCGAGAGTGAACCCTGAACACAAAGCCAGGAGTAAGCCAGCCTTGAGCACTGTTGGGTATGGCCTAAACCACCTCATCCCCTGAAAATAAGGATATCTAAAAATAGAACCTTAAGGAATGCTAGCATTTAAGTACTAAAATTAAGGAGAATAAAATGTAATTGGGAGCCCAGATTTGAAACCCCAAAAACCCAGGAAGGATGGAAGGGAGTTTGCAGTATGTTTTAAGAATGCTTTAGAGTGTTTAATGCTTCAAGGTGTTACGTATCATAAAAAAGCAATCCTTTGGATTCACTTGATCGCTCGTAGCTTTAATCATTACAATTCAGGTTAAATGTTTCACTAAATAATATTTAAGGATTCTTTCAACTATAGGTATTTTACAGTTCTTTGAGTGATAAACATTACCTGCATTAGCAATGTATAACTCTCTAAAATCTGAACATTAAATTTGTCATATACAAACACAATTTTAAAATTGAGTCTCAAAAGATTGTCCAAATTTTATCTTGTAACAGTGATAACTTCTAAGATTATGTGTTTTCTTCTTGAAAATCTCTGTAAAGAAGATTTTTTGATTCTTTACTTGATTTATTAAATATATTTGAAAAAATTAATAGTTAATTGTATTATTTTCTAAAACATCACTGTTTTTAACAGTGTTTCAATTACAAATGGACTACAAAACACTTTCTTAAAGATAAGTAAAAAGTACATCCATGTAAACAATAGTACATTAAGGGTTACACAAAGTCTTTATTTCCAAAAACTTCAAGATAAATGGGAGATATGTTTGAATATATATTTAACTTGTGAAGCAAATGCATTTTATTTTTTTACTTTATTGCTTTATACGTTTTCATGTTTTTTTCTCTAGAACTGTTATGAATACTATTCAACAACTAATGATGATCTTAAATTCAGCAAGTGATCAACCATCAGAAAATCTAATTTCCTATTTTAATGTAAGCTATATATAAAACGTTATGATATGATAGTAATTATAAATTATAAGTATAAATGCTAAATGTTTTTAAAATGCTCAACTCTCTACATGTTCTCTATCATCTTTTACTAATACTATTGTAACCTTATTTCATGTAGATAATGCTAGTTGTAGATTTTCTTATGATTATTTTGCTCTTTTGGGTTTATTTTCTTCTTCAGATACAACTTTCTCTTTAGTGAGTATACTTTAAGATGCCTTTATAAGATTTGTTTTGGTTTTAATATATCTTTATTTTTATCTTTTGTTATGATAGTTTAGGATCTTAATTCTAGATTGATTTTACTTAGAAGTTTGATGTTATTACTTTACTATATCCCAGTTCCCATTGTTGCTGTCAATAGTAACTATTGTTCCTTTTTTCTCTCTGCTGCTTGTAAGATATTTGAATGTGATATGAAACAGGATTTGATATTTGCCAGATAACTACTGTCTTTTTAATTTAATCAGCCCACTTTCATTTATTTATATTTATTTTGGTTTGGGGGACATGCCTGGCTGTGCTCATGGCTTCCTTCTGGCTTTGTGCTCAGGGACCATTCCTAGCCATGTTCAGGAACCATACATGGTACTGGGGGACCAAACCTGGGTTAGCTGTGTGCAAGACTAGCACCTTACCTACTGTACTATCTCTCTGGCCACTTTATAGTTTATATATGGTTCTTGCCTGATCCTGTGTACTTTGCAATTTGCAACTCCTTATAGACTTTGCATTTGATATTTGAAGGATCCCTCAAAAAAGGGAAAAAGAAGAGAAAATGAAAACTCGTGTTTATATAATTTACTTGTTCACTCCTAACTTAAAGTCATGTGAAAATTAGAACCCATTGAAATATTCATGCATTGAAAATTGTGTAAGATTGGGAAACATAATACATCTTGACATATCCTAGTAGCTATGTGCTTTTTGGTTGTGATTAATATTTCTGTTAGCATATAATCTGCTTATGTTTTGTCATTTCTGTTATCTTATATTTCTCCAGAAAGTAAGGTAAGGTAAAGGTAAAGGCCCTCCCGTTGATCGTCGATTTGCTCGAGCGGGCCCAGTAACGTCTCCATTGGAGACTTTTGTTGTTACTGTGTCTGGCATATCGAATACTCTCGGTAGCTTGCCGGGCTCTCCGAGAGGGGCGGAGGAATCGAACTTGGGTCGGCCATGTTGGCCGCTTGTAAGGCAAACGCCCTACTGCTGTGCTATCGCTCCAGCCCCTCCAGAAAGTAGCAAAGTAATTTGTGTCATTATATTTAATAATTGTATTGGGTAAGATTTATTTTGTTTTTCTAATCTGCCTGAAGGAAGTTGCTTTTGTTACCTGTTGCACAAGTGTATTTTCTGTATAGCTTACTCAGTTACTTAAAACCTTTAGAAAGCAAACTGATACAAGTTAAAAGAACAATAATCTTTTTTTCTCATATCACTTGTATCACTTGTCATCCTGTTGTTCATCAATTTGCTGGAGCAGGTGCCAGTAATGTCTCCATTTGTCCCTGTCACGTGCTAGAGTAGCCCAATGGTGTATTGGGGGCTCTTTCAGGGTCAGGGGAATGACGCCTGTTACTGTCACTGTTTTTGACATATTGAATACACTACGGGTAGCTTGCCAGACTCTGCTGTGCGGGTGGGATACTCTCGGTAGCTTGTTGGGCTCTCTGAGAGGAACAGAGCACCCCAGGAAAAACTGCAATAATTTTTCTCATATATTCAAAATATTTCCTCTAATATGTGTAGTATTTAGCAATTTAGTTTTATTTTGAAGTCCATTAGATGAGAAGAACATTTTGCTTCCAATATATTCTCTGGAGGATTTAGAGGGATAGTTAAGTGGGTAAGTTACGTTGCCTTCCATGGGACTGACCTGGGTTCCTCAGCAACCCATACGATACCTCAAATCCTGCAGGGAGTGAACCATTATTACGGAGTCAGGAGTAAATTCTAAGCATCACCATGTGTGGTACTGAAATAAAATTCCTGAGCTCAGTTTAATGTAAGTTTTTTTTTTAATAACAAATAGTATCATCTTTCTTTGTGTGTATAAGTTTCAAAAGTTATGGATATTTTCTTTTTATTTATTTTGGCAACACCCGCTTCTGTGCTCAGGGATCACTTCTGGCAGGCTTAGGGGACCATGAATGATGGAGATTGAACCTTGATTGGCTGTGTGCAAAGCATATGCCCTACCTGCTCTAGTATTACTCATCTCAGTTATGAACATTTTACTGGATGTTTTGACAACTATGATTTTATAACAAGAAATGCTTTGTTACTATATTTTTGAGACATATGTTTTCTTTAAAGGGAGAATTGTTTATATGGAATGAGTTTTTAAAATGTACATTTCAAAAATTATTGTACCACTGTAGCACGATCCTCCTATTGTTCATTGATTTGCTTGAGCAGGCATCAGTAACATTTCACAACAAATTGTGAGACTTGTTGTTACTGTTTTTGGCATACGTCATGGGGAGCTTGCCAGGCTTTGCAGTGCGGGTGAGATACTCTCAGTAGCTTGCCAGGCTCTCCGAGAGGGGCAGAGGAATCGAACCCGGGTCAGCCACATGCAAGGCAAACGCCCTACCCACTGTGCTATCGCCCCAGCTCAAACATTATTGTAATTTTAGAATTTTTAATGTATAATTTTTGGGGGCTACACCAGGCCTCCATCAGGGTTAACCCTTGACTCTGCACCAGGGACAACTCCTGACTGGGCTTTGGGGACTTTACTCAGTGCCTGGGATCAAACATGGGTTCAGCTATGTGCAAGGCAAGCACCTTACCCACTGTACTATCTGGCTCTGTATGTGATCTATAAAGATTATAAAAATAAGGTCAGTCTTTGGTTATAGTTGAAGAGAAATTTTAATGAGTTCGTTTCTATCCAACTGAGCAAGAGAAAATGTAGGTCATCATATTTTTTTTATAGCATAGTGTTTCTTTTGCTCCCTAACATCTAAAAACTGAATTCTGTATTTCACATACTTTCAGTAATTGTGTGTTCTTAGTAATTGTGGAAGTTTTTCTACAGTGTAAACAGTTGAAAAATTTAAGTCAGATATTACAGAACAGAAAATGTTAATTCTGATTAAGTAGCAACCTAAAAATTTATTTTTGCTTTTCCTTCTTAAAGAACTGCACAGTTAATCCAAAGGAAAATATCCTGAAACGAGTGAAGGATATTGGATACATCTTTAAAGAAAAATTCGCTAAGGCTGTGGGACAGGGATGTATGGAGATTGGATTGCAGGTAACTTTACTTAATACTGATTAATGCCATTGAATATTGTGAATAATTTCAAATGTTGCATCTACAGATTGTGTAAGTACTATGATAGTATTTGCTGAGTAATACTGGCACTTATTAAATCTGGGCTTTCTGCTTATGTAATAATGCCCTTAATTCTGTTACAAAATTTAAAGTAAACAAATAGAAATTTCAGAAAATAGAAGCAAGAAAATAAACTCTTTACTACTAACAATATTTGGTATACATATGAAACTATAATTATTTATAATTTGGAATGAAGGAATGCAGTTCGTGTTTGTGTGTATTTATAAAATCTAGATAGTCTTTGAACTGGTGGCAACTAGTTACTTGACTAAAATTTTTTGAATTAATTTATTTACCTATTTATTGCTTTTTGGGCCACACCCAGTGATGCTCAGGGGTTATTTGTGGCTCTACACTCAGGAATTACTCCTGGCGGTGCCAGGGATCGAACCCAGGTCAGCTGCGGGAAAGGCAAATGCCCTGCCTGCTGTGCTACCGCTCCGGCCCAACTTGACTAAAATTTTTGATGAGAAGCACAGTTGGATCTGATTTTGTCTGTGCTATTTTTCCAGACAGAGACTCTTCCCTTAAATTAGACATATATTCTGAAAATAAATGTCTGTTGGTTAGAAGTGTTGTAGCTATTTAAAGTGGCTAAAATTACTAGAACATAACTTACACTTAGTGTATATATTTTACATATATTAATACATATGTGGAGTGTGTGTATGTATAACATACGTAAAACTTATGATGTTGACTTAAGTAGTATGAAAGAAAATCAGGTAATAGATCACCCCTTTTGTCAATTTATCAAGAATATTAGTCATTATTTTATAGTAAGTCTTGAGTTTTAGGCAACCTAGCTTTTGTGATCTTTTGGCAAGCATATTTCTAAAAGTATTAGAATGCATTTCAGAGAAAAATATTTTTAAATTAATAATTTTCTCAAGATCTTTTTTTCTTTTTGTAGCGATACAAACTTGGAGTGCGATTGTATTATCGAGTAATGGAATCCATGCTTAAATCAGTAAGTTACAAAGAATATTAATGAAAAAAATTAAATGTCTTTAAAAAGGTTTTAAATGCACATTTTAAAAATCTCTTTCAGGAAGAAGAGCGATTATCCATTCAAAATTTCAGGTAATTAAAAAAAAATTAGTTAAAATAATTTTTCTTTCTATAAAAATTTCAAATTTGTTTTTTTTTTTCCTCTAGTAAGCTCCTGAATGACAGCATCTTTCATATGTCTTTGTTGGCGTGTGCTCTTGAGGTCGTAATGGCTACTTATAGCAGTAAGTTAAATTTTAGTAAATAAACCTTTTAGTTCACTTGAAGTGAAAAAAAAATTTGGTCCAGGGAGATAAGTCCACGTAGTAGAGCACATGCCTTGCATGTGTTAAGTCTTGAGTCTGATTTCCTGTATCTTATTCCCTCCTGTCCTCCCAGCTCTGTGGGCATTACTGGATATAGCTGCTATTTATGAATTCATTTTATCTAAGGTGTGTATTTGGGGTCAAGAAATACAGGGTTAGGATAAGAAATCCATATCTTAATATATATTGATCATTGTAATTAGTAATTTTCACAAGCCATTTAAGTGGCTCATAATGTTAATTAGTTCAGGTCATTTAGGTAGTATTTGTTTCACCAGATTCCTATTTTTAGGCTGTGCTGACTCTAGGAAAGATATCTTTTCAAGTTTCTTTGAAGACCTGTAAGGTTCTAAAACACCAAAGGAGTGTCAATGACCAGTCTTCACGAATATCAGTACAGACTCTGTAATCATGAGACCAAAAGTCAGATATAGAATCCACCAGATATATAGAACAGAGCCTACTAATTTTTTTCTTAAATAAAATTTTTAGATTTATTATTATTCAGAAAGTATAAATTTTTAAAATTTATTTGCAGAAAAAAGAAGAAAATATATCTAGTTATGCAAGTATACAATTAAAAAAGAGTTTAAATTTGTAAACATAAAAAAATTGGGAGGCCTCATTAACAACCCAGAAACGCACATTTGAAAATGATGCAGTTTCCTTTTTGTGGGGTTTCAGGGGGTTGGTCCATACTTGGCTGTGCTCAGGGCTTACTCCTGACTCTCTTCTCAATGATCACTCTAAATAGTGCTCAGGGGACCATATGTAGTGCTGGGGATTGAACCCAGGTCGACTGCACACAAAGCAAGTATCTTCCCTTCTGTACTCTCTCTGGCCCCAAGATGTAATTTTCAGACTAATCAAATTAACAAAATCTCAAAAGTAATAAATTTGGGGGCCAGAGCAATAGTACACTAGGTAGGGTGTTTACCTGGCATGCAGCTGACCCAGCTGACCAAGGTTCGATCCCTGGCATCCCTAAGGACCCCTGAGCACCATCAGGAGTAATTCCTGAGTGCTGAGCCAGGAGTAACCCTAGAGCATTGCCGCGTGTGACCCAAAGGAGAAAAAAAAAAGTAATAAATTTTCCCTTCCCCCATCAATGAGAAAGCTAAAGTAGATATGCCAATGCATTTTTGGTAAATATTAAACCTATCCCTGATACAAGTTTAGGATCCTTGCAGGTTTGAAAATTTGATATAAACTATGAGCTCTCTTTTATAGGAAAAACAATATTATGTTCATATCTGCATGATTTAAAGAAATTTTTTATGAGTCTGGATTACTCATAAGAATAAAAATTCTGCACTAGAGAAAAATTTTAATTTAGTCTTTAATTTTTTTATATAATAAAACCTTCCAACCTATATATCTGTATCTGTATATATATATGTATGCATTTTTTTCAAAGTTTAACATGTCTTACCTAAATTTTACTTTTCCTTTTCCTTTTAGGAAGTATGTCTCAGAATCTTGATACTGGAACGGATCTGTCCTTTCCATGGATTCTGAATGTACTTAACTTGAAAGCTTTTGATTTTTACAAAGTGATTGAAAGTTTTATCAAAGCAGAAGCCAACTTGACCAGAGAAATGATAAAACATTTAGAGCGATGTGAACATCGAATCATGGAATCCCTTGCATGGCTCTCAGTAAGTAACTAAAATTATTGAAGATATTCCTTATGCATATTCTTATCAATTGGTTGTTAGGGAGAGTTTGTTAAAATAAATCTCAGTAGCAAATGAGTATTTTAATTAATAATGTGATTTCACTATGTTGCCCAGGAATTAAATAATTAGATGAAATTTTCTTTGAGCTCCTAGATTATCCAATCTAACAGTGATTTGTTTAGGAATAGCTTTTACTTCATAAGAAAAGAAGGTACTTTCATTTTATAAGGAACTAAGAAAATACTCTCAGAATTTGGATAATAGATTAAATAAAAGTGGGGAAAAAATAAAACTGTAGAGAAATTGCTATGCTTAAAATTAAAATTGGCACTTTACTGTATTGCCAGAAAGAGACTATTCTCATTTTTTAAAGAGAATATCTCTTAGTCCAGTTATTACACATCTGCTATATATATGCTTTGTACTGGTAAAAGACAGGGCTTTTAATTGTGCTGAAGAAAAGAGTTGAAATTTACCACTTAAAAAATTCCTTGTACTTATGCAATTCAGTTGCTTGCCTTCCCAGATTTCTGAATGATCTTGAATTATATTCATTTGTTTCTGAGAATCTATGGAGAAAGAAAGGCATAGGTCATTAAGATACTCAAATTGAATGCAATTTGCCTGGGAAGATGAATTATCTTTAACTATATTGTGTTTAAAGTGATTGTCCTTTACATAGTGATGTCGGATAGTAGTTGGATATGTGAATCTGTAGTTTTAAGAAGAATCTGAGTCTGAAAGTATGTAGATAATTTAAGAAACATTACCCTTTGTTAATACATGATCGGGCATGGTCAGGGGTCTTTTAATATCATTTACTTTTTATAAAATTATGTGGTAGTATCATTCTAGATGATGAAATTAATATATAGAGAAGTTTAATTTGCTCTAGACCACACTAATCGTTAGCACTTTCTCTGAACTACATCCCTAGCCCTGGACTTAATTCTTGTTTAAAGGGGCTTTTTGTCAGTCTATTATGATACATTGTTTCTGCATTTTTGTATTGAAACTATTTTTCTTTTGTTTTTCAAAGATTATTTTGCTGCATATATATTTGTAAGATAACAGGTTTTCTTTTTCTCCCCTTCCTCTTTCCCTCCCATCCTCCTACCCTCCCTCTCCCTTCCTTCCTTTTTGTTTATGGGCAACACCTTGCAGTGCTCAGGGCTTACTTTTGGCTCTGGGCTCAGGGATCGCTTAGGGATCCATATGGGGTGCTTAGGATTGAAGAACCCAGGTCAAGTCATATGCAAGGCAAATACCCTACTGCTGTATTATCGTTTGGGCCATGACAGTTTTTATTTTAGAACTTAAGAAAAGTATTACTCTACTTTGTTTTCTGGTTTGCACTTGCTTCTAATAAAGTCTGCTTTTGATTTTTTTTTCCTGTAAGTTGATGCTTTTCTCTGTCTTCTTTTTTGATTTTCTCTTTATTGCTGGTTTTGACCAATTTCATAATGTAATGATGTGCCTTGATTTAGTTTTCATATTTCTTTTGCTTGGAATTGTATTGCTTGAATATACTTGAGTTTTATCAGATTTGGAAAATTTCAGCCATTATTTTATTTAAATACTTTTGTTGACACATTTGACACCTTTACCCCTTCAGTGCTTCCTCCCACAAATATATTTATTAGATTACTTGAAAATTTCCTGTAACTCCCTGATGCTTTATCCTTTTTTTTTTAATGTAGGGGTACTGCTATTTATTTGGCCACTGATTAGCTGATTGAATTGGGCATGAATTCCACCTTACTTTCTTTGTCATAATTTTATTTATTTATTTTTCTTCTTATATTTATTTGCTCGAGCGGGCATTGAATCACTGTGGGAAACGTTACAAAGTTTTCAGGTTTAAGTCTCGGTCATACAGTGATCAAACACCTTTCCCTTAACCAGTACTCATTTTTCACCACCAAGAACCCCAGTATACCCCCGCTCCCACCCCTCCCAATGCCTGTGAGGCAGATGATTTCTACTTAACTTTTCTCTACATTGATTACATTCATTATTTTGACAAAAGATGCATCATTATTGTTTAGAATTCCCCCCCCCCCCCAACAATCAGTTTTTTTTTTTAACTTCTGGAGGGTGGGGTTTGAGTCACACCCAGCAGTGTTCAAGGGCTATTTTGTTCAGGATTGATGACCCCTAGGCATTGCTCCTGGGATGAAATGTGCTGTTGTTCAAAGTAGGGCCTTGGCTGAAGCTGCCATATGCAAGGCCTGTGCTCTCCTATATGCATTCTAGCCATGCTTTGTCCTTTTAACCTCCTGGAAGTTTTGCTGTTTTTGTTTTACATAGTTTCTGTTGTTATGTTTTCAATGTAGTTTTTTCTTTTGAAATATCTAAGCTTCTATTAATCCATTTACTAAATTTAATTTCTGTAAAACTGTTTTTGGTTTTTCACATTTTTATATTTGAGTTCTTTATTTCATAACTCTAACATGTTTGTATTTTCCTTTATTTCTTGAGCATGTGAAATATAGCATGAAGCTTTTAAGGTCTCTATTTATTAATTGTAACATTTATCTTGTTTTGGTTGGGGCTTCCCAGGTAGTGTTCAGGTGGCCTGGTATCATTCCTGGTGATACTTGACCAACTGGACTTTGGTTCAATGCTGGGGTCTAAGATGTGGTGCTACTTGTGTCCTGTGAGGCTGGGGGCCACTAGGGCCACACCTGCTGATGCTCAAGGGTCTACAGGGCTATACTCTGCAATGTTCAAAGTACCAAGTACACTCAGCGACTTAATATCAGTTATGCCAGTACAGTCTTCTGGTGTACTTTTTTCTTCTATCTCTGATTGTGTGTGTGTGCGTGTGTGTGTGTGTATCTGTATATATTTTATTTGAACATCATGGTTAACAGAGTAATTCACGATACAGTTGTTTCAGGCATTCAGTGCTACAACACCGTCCCAACACCAGTGTTAACCTTCCCTCAACCATTGTCTCCAGTTTCCCCATCCACCCAACCAAGCCTGCCCCCTTTTAACAGACATAAGATAATTCATTTTATATTGCTTATTATAACAAAATGGTAAGTGGAATTATTGAAAAATACTTCAGTAAAAGAAAATTTGTGAAAATGGTTATATCTCACCATGGCGTCATTAAAATCTGGGGGTTTACAAGTTGTGTATTGCTAATTGAGCCTTCTGTGCTACTGGTTTTGCTTATTGAGCTTAGTTGGTTTCTGTGCTACTTTCCCATTTAATTTGCATGATCTGTTAGTATTGTGGAATTTGGAGGTGTTATGCAGCTTTGGCAAGCCAGAGCAATAGCACAACAGGTAGGGTGTTTGCCTTGCACGCGGCCAACCCAGGTCCGATTCCTCTGTCCCTTTCAGAGAGCCCGGCAAGCTACCGAGAGTATCCCACCTGCATGGCAGAGCCTGGCAAGCTCCCTGTGGCGTATTCGATATGCCAAAAACAGTAACAACAGGTCTCACAATGGAGATGTTACTGGTGCCTGCTGGAGCAAATCAATGAACAGTGGGAGGACATTGCTATAGTGCTATGCAGCTTTGGGAGTTCCAGGATCTGTAGAGCTGGAACAATTCTTGGCCTACCCCTCATTAGACTGAAGGGACACCAGAGTTTTAAGCCCAAACATCCATACACCTGTGAGTTTCACGGGCTTGACTTGCACCTCTTCTAAGATTAGTTGTGAAACTGGACTGTTGCTTACATGGTGGCATCTGTGTGATGTGGCTGCTGGTCCTTCTGGCAATATGGGGGTTGTGAAGAGGTTGCCCTCCCGCACTCTAAGAAGCCCCCAGAATTTTCAACCCCCAAATCTGTTGTGTCTGGAAGTTTTGTGGGCTTGAAATCTCTGCAGAGATTGGTTGTGAAGCAGTGAATTAGGGCATTTGCATACTATGGGGTCTTGGTTTGGCTACCCGGGCTTTGGCAGGGTAGGAAACTGCCCTCCCTGCCCTCAGGGGCCCCCAGAGTTTTAGCCTGCAGACCAGTGTACCTTGAGTTTTGGCAGATGGGCTTCTGAGATTAGTCATGAAGCTGTGAAACTGGGCCAGTATTTACATGGTGGTAACTGTGGGATGGAATTGATTTTTTTTTTGGTGGATTTATTTTTCTGCTTTTTTGCCTGCATGGTAATTTTATCCATTCTGAACTGTACCTTTCTGTGCCCTATATATTTCATACTACTTTATTGTTTTTGAGCTGAATTTTGGGTTGCAATTTAGTAACATTGAAATAATATGATCCTTGCCAGGCTCTTGTTGTTCTTAGATCAAAGTAGTCTTTATTACTAATTTTTCTCTACTATTAAGACACTGTCAACTCAAATACTCTGTCTGTTGTGCTATATATTTACGAAGTTTTTCTTCTCTGGTGGAGATCATAACTCTTCCTAGACTTATTTCAGCTTTTGCAATGGTTTTGCCTTTTCTGGTTTTGGGCAGTTTTCTTACATGCACACTACTGATAGGTTTACGGCTGAATATGTGGATTAGTCCTCAGACTATGGAGAACTCTCTTTGTAGTGCTCCTCTTTCTGTATAACTATTGTTTCTAAATTTCTTCCCAGCTGATTTCTGTTGTCTTGGCCTCATTGAATTCTCAACTGTTTATTTCTTCAAGCAGGGGGAGACCACTGAACTCTATTTATTCTTGTTCTCTTTTCTCTGTTTTACTCAATTCTTCCTTCCCTTTCTAACAGATATGGTGTTAGAAATGGGGTCAGTTGTAGGGCAAGGCATGCGCCTTAACCTTTCTACTATTTCTCTGTCTCTGTTTTGCTCATTTTTTCTTTCCTCTGCTGTAGCCTGGAAACAGTTTGAAGGGAGTAAGCTGTAGCAATTGATTTTTTTAATCAGAAAATAGTTTCATTTAAAATTTTTAAAAATAGAAATAACTATTTTATCTTTATAGGGTGTTTTAGATTTAATAATGTTTATATACACTTAGCTATGGAAGTGTATATTTAAGAAGGTGTAATTAATTTTTAT